TGTTCTTCATTTTCAAAGTTTGCATTTCCATTTGAATTTTATAATAAGCCTGTCAATTTCTATAGAAATCTTGATTGGGAAAATTTTGAATCTACACTAATTTGGGGATAACTGACAAATTAACAATACTGCATCTCCTGATCCATGAACACAGTATGCCCTTCCATGATTTTAGGTCTTTTAAAAATTCTTTCAGTTTTCTGTCTATAGGTCATCCACATTTTTTGGTTAGATTTATCCCTTAGTATTTCAATTTTGGGAAGAGGGTATTGTAAACAGTATTTTAAAATTTTATTTTCTGATTACATATATGTATATGTATATAGACAGATGACTTATTTATTGATCTTCTATCCTGCAACACTGCTAACCTCACTTACTAGTTCTAGTAGCTTTTTTGTAGATACCAGCAGATTCTCTGTATAAATAATGTTATCTGCAAGTAAAGATGGCTTTAATTCTCTTTCCTATTTGGATGCCTTTTAGTTCTTTGTATTGCTATACTGTACTCGCTAAACCCAATACTGAACAGAAGTATTGATAGTAGACATCCTTATCTTGATCCTGAACTTAGAGGGAAAGCTTTCAGTCTGTCACAATTAAGTACGATGTAAACTCTAGGTTTAACATAGATGCCCTTTACCAGGTTAAAGAAGATGCTCTTTTATTCCTAGACTGCTAAAAGTTTTTATCAGAAATGGATATTGGAGTTTGCCAAATGCTTCTTTCCTTCTTCATCTACGAAGATGATCATATGGTTTTCTTTTTTACATTGATTCACTTTCTAATGTTAGACCAAACTTGCAATTTCTGGCATAAATATCCCACTTGGCAACACTGTATTATCCTTTTACATATTGCTGGATTTGATTTACTAAAACATTAAGAATTTTTATATCTATGTTCATTAAGAATACTGGCTTGATTTTTCTAATAATATCTGAGTCTGGTTTTGATATAACAGTAAAGCTATCATCAGAAAATGAGTTGGTGAGAATTCCCTCCTCTTCAGTTTTCTGAAAAAGTTTGTGAAGAATTGGTAGTGAAGAATTGGTATCATCTATTAGTTACACGTCTGTTAGAAATCACCAGTCATCTGGTCCTAGAGGTTTGTTTGCAGGAAATTTAACTTCTTAGATACATGGCTATTCACCTAGGTCATCTATTTCTTCTTGAGTGAGCTTTGAAAAGAGTTATGTCTTTTGAGGAACTTGTCTATTTCATCTAAAATGTCAATTTGTTGGCATAAAGTTGCTCAACATTTCATTATCTTTTGATATCTGTATACTCTGCAGTGATGAAAAATCCCCCATTCCTAATATTCCTATAATTAATACTCTTCTCCTTTTTTCTTGATCAGTCTAGATAGAGGTTTTATTGATTATACTGACCTTCTCAAAGAACCAATTTTTGTTTCCTTTCATTTTCTCTATTGTTGTTCTCTTTTCTGTGTTATGGATTCCTGCTCTGATCTTTCTTATTCTCTTTATTCTGCTTACTTTGAGTTGTATTTATCCTTTCTAGTGTAGTTTCTTAAGATGGACACTAAGGTTATGGTTTGGAGATCAATTTTCTTTTTTAAAATGTGCATATCAGCTGGATGTGGTGGCTCACACCTGTAATCCTAGTACTTTGGGAGACCCAGGCAGGAGGATTGCTTGAGGTCAGGAGTTTGAGACCAGCCTAAGCAACATAGTAAGACCCCATCTCTACAAAAAAATAGGAAACTTAGCTGGGCATGGTGGTATACACCTGTAGTCCCAGCTAGTTGGGAGGCTGGGGCAGGAGGATCACTTGAGCCCAGGAGTTTGAGGTTGCAGTGAGCTATGATCATGCAACTGCCTTCATGCCCAGGCAAAAGTTAAGCAGGACCCTGTCTCCAAAAAAAAAACAAAATCAAAACCACTTTATGCTATAAATTTCCTTCTAAGTACTGCTTTTTCTGTATCTCACATTTTGATATTCATAAGTTGTTTGCATTTTCACTCTGTTCAAAATTATTTCTAATTTACCTTCTGATTCCTTCTTTGACCCATCAGTTATTTAGAGATGTTTTACTTTACAAATATTGGGGAGATTTCCCAGAGATCGGTTTGTTATTGATTTCTAACTTAATTCCATTGTGGACAGAGAACATATTTTGTATAACTTGAATCATTTTGGTGTATAAGATTTGTTTTATGGTCCAATTCATGGTCTATATTGGTAGATGGTCCAGGTGTACTTAAAAAGAATGTACTATTTATTTGTCTAGTAGAATGTTCTAAAAACGTCAATTAGGTCAAGTTAGTTGATACAATTGTTCAAATCTTCTATACCTTACAGATTTTTTACCTACTTGTTCTACCAATTATTGAGGGAGGGGCATTAATATCTCCGACCATAATTGTGGATTTGTCTATTTCTCCTTGCAGTTCTATCACTTTTTACTGTCATGCATCTGGAAGGTCTATTATTAGATATGTAAATGTTTAGGGTTATAACTGACTGCTTCATCATTATGAAACTACCCTTTTTATCCCTGTCAATATTCTTTGCTATGAAACCTATTTTGTATGACATTAATATAGGCATTCTAACTTTCTTTTGGTTAGTATTGGCATGGTATATATTTCCCCATCCTTTTGCTTTTAGCCCATTCTTGTGTCTATATTTAAAGTGGGATCCCTGTAGGCAGCAAACTCGCCTTATTTGTTTCCCATTTCTCAAGGAACACTGTACTTTGTTGCCTGATATCCAATGTCTTTGGGGCGCTTATTTCATATATTTTTTCTGGTGCTTTAGTTATTTCTAGGATAAGGAAGGCCCCTGTTACTCAAACTTGGCTGGTAATTCCTATTAATTTTTAAAAACTAGTGGGTTTGGTTTCTTTCTTTAAAGAATACTGTCACTGTGTGTCCTTTTCTCCTTATTCCTGCCATTTCCTCTGTATTTACAGTTTTAGTATCATGCATGTTACATAAAATACCAAATGTGATTCAGTGATGACGTGGGGGAGAAAGACAAAAAGAAGCTTCATATTTGTAAATGAAGACTCAGAACTGATTTTTTTCCTCCCAGTAGAGGAGTCATGTAGGTATAAGCCCACATATTGGCACATGAAACCATTTCTGCCAACTGAGTTATTAACATTATTTAAATATTGTAAATATTGTTCTGAAAGACAAAGTGCCAATACACTGTACCAGCATTAAAACAAACAAACAAAAGCAAAGGAAAACATAACATTGAAAATGACATTTTCATGTAATACCTTCTGTTGCCATGTCCCAACTTCCCATCTTCTGCCTCACCCCAAGAGTAAACTTCTCCTTCTGAAGAGAGGGCAAGGCAGTGCTTTCCTCCTGAGTTCACAGCTACTTTCTTAATAAACACATGCTGAATGGATTCAAGCAATGTTGGGGTAGATACCGACTCTGTCCCTCCAATTCCTAGTCTGCCACCTGCACCATACCCAGTGGCATACAGCTAAGACAAAAAAAGTAATAGCAACATCAGGTTTGTATCTAAATATTCCCTCTATTTAGTAATTAATAAACCAAATCAGTGCTCTAGACATTTTTACCACAGAGAAATGAAATTTAAAATTAAAAATCATAGGAGTGCTTAAGACTTTATACATACTATATTCAAAGCTCTGAAAATGAAAGAAAAACTTATTACTAGAAATCCAAAATCCACAAAATGTATTTTTGAAATGAGGTCTTCTCTCTGAAACTATCTCCATTTTTGTCTGGAATACCAACTACAATTAATACCAAGAAAAACAAACAAAAAAAATTAATTATCTACTATATATAAATCCCTGACAATACCCACAAAAACATACCCATAGAAAAATTATAAATATATTTTCATATTTCAGCAAGGCAACATATAAATCACACAATAGAAACCATTTTTTTTTTCACTTTAAGTAAGTAATTGGGGATACAAAAATATCTTATCATTCATTTAAAAAGAAAAAAGGTCAGGCTGCCATTTCTAAATATAGGGCAAACATCTTTCCTGATAAAAACTTAACATGCTGTTTCATCTTATTTTAAACATTTACAAATATGTTGCTGTACTGACACAATAGTAAGGAAACCACAAGGGCTAGAACAGGAAGTGAAACCAAAACTCAGGTGAATAAAGGGGCCCCTAAGCCAGCTTCTCCTGGGAAGGTATTAAAGATCTTCAGCACATGGGTGTGGGGGTAAGATGCCAAGCCTCAAAGGAGACTCCCTGTAGAAAGGTAAGGCTCCAAAGGAGGCCCCCTGTGTGGCTGTAAATGAGAAGTAAGGACAACAAAGATGCCTTTCTCAGTCTTAGCACTGAGGGGGAGACTCTCCTGAGAATCTGTAACTACAAAAGCTGACCCTCAAGTTGGTTTTCACTCTGACTTTATGCTACCTATGGACTAAAATCCTTAGGCTGGTAATGTCCCAAGTTTATAAATTCTCTTTAGATAAGTGATTTCAAACCAGGTCTCGGGCCAGGTATGGTGGCTCATGTCTGTAATCCTAACACTTTGGCAGGCCGAGGCAGGAGGATCGCTTGAGCTCAGGAGTTCGAGACCAGCCTGAACAAGAATGAGACCCCATCTCTACTAAAAACAGAAAAATTAGCTGGGTATAGTGGCACGTACCTGTAGTCCCAGCTACTTGGGAGGCTGAGCCAGGAGGATCACTTGAGCCCAGGCGTTTGAGGTTACGGCACAAAAACCCACAAAAAACTAGGCCTCAAAGAATTTCTATACAAAATTTTCTAAGGCAAATGGTCAGCTCGTAGTTTTAAAAATTCACATCATATAAAAGGAAAGAAGGCACCATGAGTGAGAGCCAACAGACTAATTAATGGTCTACTATTATGTTTAAAGAAATCAAAGCTTGAAAGTATGCCCAAGGAATAAGAAGAGTATAAAATAACCAAAAGCAAAATTTCTAGAAATGGAAAAAAAATTGAAATTCAAAATTCAGATGTATTAAACACAGCAGATTATACACAAGTGAACAAAAATTAGAGAACTAGAAGGTTGATCTGAAGAAATTATCTAGTCTATGGCACAGAAAAAGAGAAAAGGAAATATGAAAGAAGGATCAAGAGATACAAAGGAAAGAGCTTCTCACTCCAGCATCAAAGTTTTAAGTACAAATCATACAGAGGATATGGAAGAAGAAATAATAGAAAACAAATGTCCAGGAATTTACCACAATTATTAGAAGACCAATTCTCAAAGCCAGGACCCCATCCCACTCTTCAATCCCTCACCTCCTGGCAAATAGAACAAAACAAAAAAAATAAACAAAAAAGGTAAGAAAAGTTAAGAGAAATTGACATCTAAATGTATCATAGTGAAATTGTCACCAAAAAGAGATCTTAAAAGCCGCTACAGAGAAAAGATTTATCATCTTTTTTGGGGTTTAAGTTAGTCTGACTGCTAACATCCCATTAGTACCCCAATTAGATAATGAAAGCCAAAAACCAGAAGAATAAAACATTTAATAGGCTGACTGAAAATAATTATCAACTGAAAATTTTATACTCTGAACAGGAGTTGGTAAATTACAACCCACAGGCCAAACTGGGCCCATCACCCGTTTTTTTAAATAAAGTTTTATTGGAACACAGTACACCTACTCATTTATATTACGCCCATGGCTTCTTTGTAGTATCAAAAGAAATAAAATGGCCCACAAAGCCAAAAATACTATTCCTTTATAGGAAATGTTTGCCAACCCTTACCCTAGAAAAAGGGCAAAATAAAGATATTTTCAAAGAAACCAACAAAAATAAATGGAGAATTAACCAACAAAAGAACCTCACAAAAGGAATTGAAAAAGATATGCTCAAAGTAGAAGGAAAATGATTGCAGATACAGGTCTGAGATGTAAGAAACAATGGTGAGCAAAGATGATTCACAAGAGGAGGTCAAAATATCCCCATTAACAAGAATTTGGAAGAAGTTGATTCCACCCTCATGGATGATTCTGATGGGTTTGAAAGACTTCAGTGGAGGAAGTCACTGCAGATGTGGTAAAAAAGCAACACAACTATTAATAGATTTAGATGTGGAGCCTGAAAGTGTGCCTGAATTGTAGTAATCTCACGAGGAACAAAGGAGGAGTTGTTTCTTATGGATGAACAAAGAAAGTGGTTTCTTAAGATGAAATCTACTCCTTCCCAGTGAAGACACTGGGAACATTGTTGAAATGACAACAAAGGATTTAGAATATTCTATAAACTTAGTTGAGCAAGCAGCAGCAGGGTTTGAGAGGATTGACTCCAATTTTGAAAGAAGTTCTGCTATGGGTAAAATGCTATCAAACAGCATCACATGCTACAGAGAAATCTTTTGTGAAAGGAAGATTCAAATCTATGTGGCAAACTTCACTGTTGCCTTATTTTAAGAAATTGCCACAGCCACCCTAACCTTCAGCAACCATCACCCTAATCAGTCAGCAGCCATCAATGTCAAGGCAAGACCCTCCAGCAGCAAAAAGATTAAGACTCACTGAAGGCTCAGATGATCACTAACATTTTTTAGCAATAAAGTAATTTTTAATTAAGGTATGTACATTGTTTTTTTAGATGCAACACTATTGCACACTTAATATAACATTGACTACAACATAGTACAAACATAACTTTTATACGTACTGGGAAACCAAAAGATTCATGTGACTTGCTTTATTGTGATATTCACTTTATTTTGGTGTTCTGGAACCAAACCCTAAGGTAGGCCTCTAATCCCCTCTCCTTGAATGTGGGCTGGACAGCAGAGACGAAGCATCACTTCTGTGATTCAGTTACACAGGACCACAACTTCCGTCCCACTACCTCATCTCTCTCTCTGTTGCTCCCTCCTGCCCCTTCCTTATCTCACTGATGCTGCCAGCTGCCAGGCTGTGAGATGCCCTCTGGACACACGGCAAAGAACTGAGCAAGGGCAGCCTCTGCAATAGTTCATGAGGGCCTGAGGCCTCAGCCCAATGGTCCATAAGGAACTGAATCCTTCCTCGTACGGCCTCAAGACAACTGTAGCCCAGTGAGAGATTCTGAGCTGGAGGACTGACCTACAGCCACCTTCAGAAGTCCTGACCCAGAGAAACTGAGAGATGATAAGTGTGCATTGTCTTCAGTTAAACAGATAGCTAATTCAGTACCAAAACAAGACAAAGACTGTATAAGACAGAAACGTTACGTGATGGTGTCTCCCTCATGAACTTGGATTTCCCAAAATCTAAACAAAATAAGTGCGAACATAAACCAAAACTATATAAAACTTATCCTGACCACACTGGGTTTTTCCAAAGAATGTAAGCTTATTTAATATGGGAAAACCAATGAATCCAATTCACTACATCAATCCACTAAAGAAGAAAATATCTATAAAAGACCATTTCAAAAAATACAGTATTTAACAAAAATCAACAATCATTCATGGATAGAAACAGAAGGAAATGTCCTTAATCTGATAAAGGGCTTCTACCAAACCCCCAGTGAGCACATGAAACTTTCCATCAGTGCTTGCCCCAGTCTGGATTCAGACAGGAGCACGCCCACTACCCCCACTCCTACCCACTCTGACACTGCAACACCCAAGCAGCACGATTTGCTTCCGTTCTCCCACACGAAAGGAAGAAAATAAAAGAGGTAAACTGGAAAAGAAGGAACAAAATTCACTTACAGATCTTCAGATATGTTAGAAAGAAAAGAGTAGAGTAGGGTCACCAGATATAAAGTCAACACAGAAACATCAAATATTTCTACACATCAGCAGCAATTAATTTTTTAAAAGACAGCATTTACAAAAAGCAAACAAGAAAGGAATACATCTAATGAATGATATGTAAACAAAAATTTTAATAATTTTAGATATATGATGCATTTCAAAATAAAAAAATTTAAAGTTATAGAACACACCTGAAGATTATACAAAAATATTGTACAACTCTAACTGCTTCCAGCATACTGGAAGTATGGTACAGGTGCCAAGAACCACACAACACACCTAGCCACAACTGCCTCAGTCTTAAAGACAGTGTAACACCAAATGCACCCCTACCTTCCCATCAGCCGTCACGGCAAAGAGAGTCTGTTCTCCTCCAATTAACTGCACTGGTCTAAGTGTTGCAAGGGCTTCACATGGAGTGGGCACTTTGACTTTTGCACCTTCGATGCCCCCGAGCTGCCCCCGATGATTGTGTCCCCATCCGTAAATTGTTCCACTGCCACCAGCAGAAAGAGTCCAGTCATCTGGTCGCCTGCAACAAACATTAAGGGATCATTTGACATGGGAAAGAATAGCACTTGTGACCTCTTTCTCTCACATATCACATTATTTCTTGTTTCTGATATAATAACCTGTTCATCCACTGCACGAGTTGTTCATCTTGCTCTCTTTTAAAAATGTCATGGCTCTCATGGAGAACATCCATATTTTCGCTGTCTGCCATTAATTCACGAATTTTCTTAGCCACCTAGACAACATTATTGAGATTGTAAGTCACACACTCATCTCAAGAATAAAACAAATAAATATTAAGGTAAGAAAACAGGAGGAATCCCTACCTTGGAATATGAGGAAATATTAACGTTGCAATTTTAAGGCAAATAAGCAATACCAATAATTACATCAAATCTATGACACTAACAATGTCTAGACGGTATCATTCTATCTTTGGTTTATTTTACTAAAAATGAACCTCAACTGAAATTCATAGTGTCAGTTTATTTTCACCTATGTGCTATTTTCTTTATGGTATTCCTTGCCAAGAGAAATTTTTCTGTCTCATAATATCAGTATCCTTTTATATTATAGCTAAATAAAGAAAATGTCTCTGCATTTCAAAAGTGATTCCAAAATAACACGCAATACCTCATCAAGAAACAGACGGGGCAATGGTGTTCTTTTGTCCAGAGCCACAGCAACTCGAGAGGCCATGCAGTATCTCCGGAACCAAGCCCACTTATGCGTCTCTGCACAGCAAGGGAGAGTGTCTAATTCCAGGTCACAAGCGAGAGCTACTAGTACCTGAAGCCGCCAAAAATGAAAAACACAGGGACGCTTAGAAATGCAGTGAACATTCCACTTTGCCAACATGTGTGCTAAAGATGAGCCAACAGCCACTGGCCACTGTCCCACTCCTTATTCCAGGCTGCCTGCCATGGCCCAGCAAGTATTTCACCATCACCTGCAATGCAGGGATCCCTAACAGTTCCTAGTGATGCACCCAATACTCCAGAGCTCAGATCCAACAAGTGCCACGGCACTTGCCTGCATCAACTGCAGAGATGACCGGTGCATCTCAAAACGTGCTAATACTTAGGTGAAGGCTTAAGGTATAAGTGCTTATGTCACACAATCATTACCTGAGACTTTTCATACTCAACTTCAGCAATACCTACAGCTGCCCTCAAAGAGGCCTAAAACATGGCACACTGTACAGAACAGCTCTCAGTGGCTTCCTCAGCCAAATGGCTCTACCATCATTTTAAAAAATAAGTCAAATATTACCTTAAAGAATGGGCTGTGGAGCAGCTGTTTGCCACCTCTCACAATAGGATCTTCATACTCGAACTGCCTTTGCAAAGCTTCTGGAAGGCCTTTCACCAAAGCAGCAAGAGCACTGCCTGTAAAACTCTAAGAAAACAACAAAATAACAACCTTTTGCAGGAATCCAAAATACAGGGGAGGTTGACTGTTTTGTTTCTGATTCAAATGTTTTATTATGTTGGTACTATTCCCTCTTAAAAAATGTTTATTGAAATTCTCAAGTAGGAAAAAAGGTAAAAGAACATGAACACTAAAATAAAAAGAGGAGTTTGAAGAATCATCACAGAATCTTTGGTCTCAATTTCAGTATAGCCACATCCAAGGAAACAGTCCCTCTCGATCTACAACTCCTGCCCATCTCCTCATAGGGTCAGGATTGAAAGGGACTATCTTACTCCACAAGATAAAAGCGGTCAGTTGGACTCACTGGGAAGGTTAATACACACCATTCCATGTCCACAGCTATTGACCCACACATTTTTTTAAAAACCAAAGTCCAGCTTGAACCCAGTATACATAGCAATATAAGGAAAAGTCTGCCAATGACAAAGGTGACCCTATTTATGTCAAATTCCCCAACTCTTCTTGATGATTTAGAGGTTTAAGTTATTAAAGCAACATACTATTCCCAAAGGGTCACATGTCTAGAAATTGTACTATAATGCTCCATACCAAAGCTCTTGTTTCCCCATCATTTTCTCCAAGCAGCCTATTTATGTTAATTGATTGCCCAAATTCAGTTGTAAGCAGCTTCCTCAGTCTTTGAAGGGCCCACATTCTGTGACTGGCAGCTGAAATGAGCACAGAGAAAATATCAGAAGCCTGACCATTTCTTCCCACTGGTTAGACAGACACGACTATAAAGGCGCCATTTACCTAAGGCACTCAACTGTGCACATGCTGCCAGTGAGGCCGCCAGGCGAGGGACGATGCTTCTGTTGGAGGTGAGATTAAGTCGGAAGTCTAACAGACACGTCACCAAGTCCATGGACGGACAGGAGAGGACGCAGCGATCAGAAAGGAGGTCTTTAGGACCTGTGAATGAGCACTGTGAACATCCCTGTGTTTGACAAGGTGGGGACTACCCCATAAGGAGACACATACAAATCCAACAAGGGGCAGCCCCACCCACTTGGAACGCAGCAGTTAAAGGTATGATGGTGGCACTGAGTCACATGAGCCATGCTCTTCACATTGACGTTTCAACTGTAAATCAACAGCTGTAAGAAATGCATCCATGAGGACAGAGGGCAACACAGCAGAAGGCAGACCTTCTAAATGAAAAATGTGAGTGTCCATGTTGCTCCAGTAACAATCTGTAGCTGGTCATCAAATCTTGGTGGCCATGAACCCTCCTTACCTGCAGCTGGCATGATGGGATAGACTGTGAAGCGCCAGCCCCATCCATTCACAGACCCATCGCTGATGAACTTCCACTTTAACTCATCCCCAGGGATGCGCAGCTCACTGGACCAGTCGGACCACTCTCGGCCTGGAAGAGAGAAGCACAGCCTGGGGTTAGGTTCACGCCATGATCTGATCAACACAAACTTCTTTAGACATTATATACAAAGCAAAATCATTCATGCTGTGTCTCAAGAATAACAAGCTCCTCCAATCTAAATTCTCTCAAGTTTAAGTTCACAGTGACACACCACTCTTGGGAATCACATTTCAATATATGACACTCTTCAACACTCACTCAACTCCTGTACCAAGTACTGGGGAAACTGAGGGCAGGTGAGCACTGCCCTGATAGAAGGCACCACATGATGGGAAATGATCACACATACAACCTGGGTGCAGTGAGAGGCCCGCCAGGCCAGCCGGCCCACATGCAGCTCTGATACAACCGGGAGCCAGGCAACAGGAGAAGGAGCCCTAGCTTCCTCCACAAAGGGTCCATGTGTGCAATCCAGCCTGGCCCCTCTAGGGAGGAGTGGAGTGGCCTGGCCAGCATAGAGGGCCTGGGTTCTGTGGAGAAGGGTGGTGGTATGTTAAGGTGTCTTAGAAGAGCCAGAAAGACCCCAACCAGCTTTCTGCTTTAGAAGGACCATCTGTATTTCCAAACAAGGTCAAAAAAAAAAATTAAAAAAAAAAAAAAAAAAACACCAACAAGGACTGTCTGGCAGCAGGAATGTCCAGGAGGGGTGTTCTGCTAGAAGAAGAGAAACTGTCAAATCTAACACTATTGAAAACTAAGCTGACAGACTTGTCAAGGTGCCAGAAAAACCCATCTCACCACTTCATCCAAAGCTTTAGACCAGAGATTTAAACCAAGTAATGTCTGGTCTGTGCATTACTTATAACAGAGGCCACACGTGGCCCACAAAGCCTCAAATGTTTACTACTTGGCCCTTTGCAGGAAAAGTTTGCTGCTCCTTGCTCGAGAGGAAAGATAAAGAGACCTTAGAAGGCACACACATGCACCCCTGAACTGGCAATTCTAAAATGCCCAGTAGGAGAGCATCAAACAAGCCCCACAGATGGAGTGGCATGCCCCACTGGCCTCACAGGACACAGTGGCAGAGCAGAGACAGGCCAGGACATCAGGCTTCCTGCCCACTTCAATGCTCTGCCTGCCACACATACAGAACTCACTCTACATGTGGCCAAGTCCTCACTGCACTCAATGAAAAACAAATCCCTTTAAGGAGCTCTGTAGTATGTCAGCCTTCACTTTGCACCAGCCCTGGCACTTCACACGTCCCCAGCACCTTCTCTAGCTGTCTGGGCAAGGCTGGGCATGTCCCAACAAGGGCCTACTCTTGCACTGGTCACCCATCAGTGGTGTGGTGCGCACATCACACGGATAATTATCTCATTTAAAGTATGATGAAGAGGCAAATAAAACCTACTGTACTTCTACCATCCCTTCTTTAAGGCTCTTGTAAGAGTGAAGCAGTAGCATTCTGTCCCCACATGTCAAGGGCTCCGTGTGCAGAGCAGAAGGCAGGCAGATCAAGTCCTGTTTGACCCCCTTCCTCACCTGACCGCACGGAGACAATCCTGTTGACGCCATCCATGACCGTGAGAGGGTCGTGGCGCCTCTCCGTGGAGCACTGCCGGTCAAACTCTACCCTGAGTCCTTCTGCACCTGGAGGACAAGTGAGCACAAAGCACAGTGACCACTCTAACCAACACTCCAAAGGCCCAGCACCCTGAGAAACAGTGAGACTAAAAACCATGTTTAACAGCTAATGAAATGCAGAAAGTCAGAAGAACCAGCATCAAAAACAAGAACCTTGAACTGACCACCCCTTTGCCCCCGCAGCTGCCCCCACAGAAAATTATGCCTGTAGACCAAAAGGCTAGAAAACACTTTTGCTTGGCCAATTCGTTTGGTGCTCTTGCCTCTGGGCAAACTTTCATGTTCAACCCCAGTACCCAGACCAAGCTTTTCAAATTATCAAACATGATGAGGGGGGCTGTGAGAACCCCCAATTTGTAGCCAAGTCAGGCAGAACTTATAGGTAACCTGGGGACCCCTTACTTACAACTGGCATTTGAAGTGGGGGGAGTCTTGTGGGACTGAGCCCTTAATCTTTGAGGTTTGCACTAACTCGAGTAGTTACATCAAAATTGAATCATCATACCCTGTCTTGGAACCAGGATTTGGCATGGAAAAAAAGAGATGCAGATGTAGAAATCTTCTGCTTTTGCATTGGAATTAAAAGTGTCAGTATGAACTCAAAAGAAACCAGGACAGATCCCAGGTGGAGGGCGGAAACCTACAAGAAAAGCCTAGAATATCTTGTCAAACCAGACTGCGTGGAAGCTACCAACAGACCACCAGAATCACTTCAGAAGCCAAACTGAAAAAGCTGCCACTGTCTATAGAGATGAGATAATTTGACCTTTAATGAAGATAATAATCACAATAGATTAAAACCTATCGTATATGTTTCAGTCCATGAGTTCATAATGATATTTTAAAATCAATAACAGGTCACCTTCGAAGGACAACAGAGAACCAATTCGTTCTCTGGTAAACAGAAAGAAGGACTAGAAAAACTGGTCAACACAAGGAAAGAATCAAGCTTTTACTCGACTTTGTTATGCAAACAGCCCTCTGGGTAACCAACTAAAGGATGAGGAGAAATGTTTTTGATAAAAAAGTATTCCAGCTAATCAGTAGGAAAGAAATGATTCAATTAGAATAGTGCCACTTTGTAGCCCCCAGTGGACCAGTGGCTTCAGGTGCTAAGCCTCAGCAGCTGCTGACAGCGTGAAGGAGAGACAAGAAAATGGGAGGGGCTTCCTCAGGCTGGGGCACAACCACCAATGGGCTCACCAAAGGGGCCTCCAAATCAGGTGTCAACTTGCAGAAAGACGGGACTAGGAAACATGCTGAACGGCAGCAGGAGTGTGCGATCAAAGGTGAATTGTTAAAAAAAAAAAAGAAAAAGAATACAAAGATGCACACTTGGGTAACAGAAGCTGTCCAGAAATGCAAGTTGGCGATGGCTCAACATCAAGACAGCATCCACTTTAGGGGAACATGCCGATGGCTTCTGGGGACTGGCACAGGTTATGTCTAGACCTGGGTCATGGTGACTAGGGCATCTACCCAAACATGAAGCTAAACATTTTCTTTGCATGGCTCTCTGTAGCATGTTTTATTTTGCAAAAGAAGTTTTTTAGAAACGGGAAAGTGATTCTAAAGCAATTCTGTAATTTTTCTATAAAAATGAAATGAGTGTTTCTACAGAAACAATTACAGAATCAAGCAATTCTGGAGGCAGAGAACCCTGCTGCTTCTCCCGCAGGGCTGGCCCGAGTACCTGGTATCTTCACCGTGCCACTGGTGGAAGTGTCGTCAGTGTAGGGATGGCTACTCTCCACCACCACAGGCTGAGAGGAAAGACGGCCACTCTGTGAGTCTGTGGCTACATCCTCCAACTCGGTGACACAGAGCTCCAACAACATATCTGCCACCTGGGGAAGAAGCAGAGACACAAATGAGGAGGCCGACTGGTTCCACATCTGGGTCATGTGACACTACCCTACTCGTCCTGCTCCAGATCTCTGCAGAGACAGGGCAGCAGAGTGGAGGACTTAGAGTTTGAGAAATTGAGGTCAAATCAGGGTTTGGCTTCCTCACCCATGAAAATCAAGATGGCAAGAGCTTGCAACGGTGCTGTGAAACTTAGAGACATCTATTATATAGATGTTGGAAGGCACCCAACACACTCAGTATGTGCCAACTGATAAAATGAAATGCCTGTGGTGACAACAGTTGCAGCTCACACCAAGACAAGATTGCTTCCTACTGAGGAAAGTCTGTCTCAGGAACAAAAATATCAAGGCAAGAAGAGAAAGTTAATAAAAATGACCAAGATCCTAGAAGGCACTGGCATCAGGTAGCAGGGGGCAGGAATGAAGAACGATCAGGCCATCACGGCCAAACAGCAGCAGAGTAATGAAATGAGGAGCGTGCACGCATGAACACAACCAGGGGTGTCTCAACCCAGGACACTAAGGGTGGGCCCACACCATATTCTCTCAATCCATAATGTCCTTTAAAAAAAAATTTAGTGATGCTTCACACCATTTAAGTGGTTAATACCGGTGATTATAAACTCCTTGTTATTTTTAAAAATAAATAAAAGAATATACTTTAACAGCAATAATATATTAACCCCCCCTCCTTTTTTTTTTGAGACAGGGTCTTGCTCTGTCACCCAGGCTGGAGTGCAGCGGTATCATCGTAGCTCACTGCAACCTCAAACTCCTGGGCTCAAGTGATCCTCCTGCCTCAGCCTCCTGAGTAGCTTGGACTACAGTTGCACTGATTTTTAAATTTTTTGTAGAGATGGGGTTTCGCTATGTTGCCCGGGCTGGTCCCAAACTCCTGGCTGCGGGTGATCCTCCCACCTCATTCTGGGATTACAAGCATGAGACACTGTGCCTGGCCTAACCCTAAAATTTTTAATTCAGAAAAAATAAAGTTCTTCTCTTTATAATGCCCATTCTGTACTTTTTAGAAATAGATTATTCTTTTTCTTTATTTTTCCTCATATTTAGACAATAAACAGCTTAGCAAATAGCTCAGTTATATCATTGTCCTACATAGGCACGATTATTTTAAATCCAAATGTGTCTTTTTTTTTAAGAGTCACAAATATCAGGGCAGGGCAGGACATAGGAACAGCCATCTTGCCGAAATGGTGAGGACAGTTTGAAGACAATTGTATCCTTATTTCTGTCCTTGAGTTATTAAAAAGCAGATGCTGGCATCATCAAACGCCTAGGCGCAGAGTCCACCAAGGGGTGCTGGCCTTCAGAATGTTCCTCTGCAAAGTCCATCAGTCCCACAGAGGAGGGGCCAGCAAACTTCTCAGGAGGAGATCACAGAGGGGCCATGATGTGGCTCTGGCATCAGAGCACTTGGGGTTCCAACCCCATCTCTCCTACCTACCAGCAAAGTTAGTGTCCTCAAGCCAGTGACAACCTCTCCGAGCCTCGGTCTCCTCACCTGTATATGAAGGTAACCCTTACCTTCTGTACTGAGAGAATGCACCAGAACCAGGCCTGGCAGATGCCAGGCATTATTTTAAATCAAAGTTCTCATTCACATCCTTTCTTCTCACAAACGCAATACACTTATGAAAAAAAAATAATACTCTGCTTATAACAATTCACCTGGATTTAATCTCTTAGAATTATGCCAAGTAACTTGTCTTAGGAAACTTGTAATTTTTTAGTGCTTCCTGAATAGCAGAGTAAGAAATAACAAACCCCTAAAATATCCACCAAACCATTTCCTGTGTTTTCATGACTGCTCAGCTGTACTTACGTACTTCATCATTTTGGTGGTCCCAATATAGGACCCCAAGAAACAGATGAAGTATCTGCAATCAGGAACGTGGGTGACATCAGGCACCTGGCATGGCGGAGCAAGGCTGCTGTTAAATGAGAGCCCTTGGGAAAGTCCAAGGACTTTAGGACTGATCAATACTATTTCTAAGATATACTGATATGATATTGGCTTTATATGCTAGACTTGTGGTGTACACTAATTAAATAGCCACTAGCCACATGTGCCTATTCAGATTTAAATAAAATAAGATTGTTTTACAAACTTCAGTTCTTCAGGTGCACTAGCTGTACTTTAAATGCTCAATAGCCACGTATGGCTGGTGGCTACAGCCCTGGATGGCTCAGATACAGAACATTTCACAATGACAGAAAGTCCTACTGGGCCCAGTGCTACCAAATATTAAAGAATATTTTAAAGCTGTAATAGTTAAAACACTGTGGTATTAAAGCCTAAAGAGTTTTATCAATGAAACAGAAAAGAGTCTATAAATAGACCCAAATACATATAGGAATTTAGTGGTTTTCAAATCACTGGGGAAAAGACAGATTATTCAATAAATGATGTTAAGGCAACTGCTTTCCTATTCAAGAAAAACTAAAGTTGGATCTCTATTTTATTTCTTTCACCAAGATAAATTCCATATGGCTCAAATATGTAAACATAATAAATGAAAACATAAAAACAATTAGAAGAAAACTTGGGAGAATTTCTTCAATAATGTCATATAAGCATTTTTCCAGCATGATACAAAACTCAGAAGGCATAAATGAAAAAAGCTGGCAGATACGACTACATAAAAATTAGAAATTTCTACATGGCAAAAAATATCAAACTAATGTCAAAAGGTAAACTGGAGAGAAAACTGCAAAATATATGAGAGAAAGGGCACTTATTTAAAGAATTCTAACAAGTCAGTAAGGAAAAGATCCACAAACCAGTTCTACAACAGGTAAAGGATGTCACCTGGGGAATAATTAAAAGTTTTATTTTAAAAGAGTGTTTCTGAACTGCTGTCTACGAGGACAAAATCCAATACAAAATCTAATACAAGACCATGTGACCAACAGCGGCATGTCCCTCAGAGAGGAGCTCAGCCCAGCACAGAGAAGGGAGATGGGGCAGGAAGGCCCCAGCCCCGTGACTTACCTGCGGGTAGGCGGTGCCCATGCCGGACAGCACAGCTGACAGCACGTCCCTGCCCCTGTCCCCAGCCCGGCCACACACCGACAGCTTGAGCAGGTCCACCACCACACGGGTGTCATCAGCGATCAGCAGACTGGTGAACTCATCCAAGGACTGAGGCTCTGGGCCTGACACTTTATTTTGGCTTTCAACATCCTAAATTAAATGACATCCAACAATTGACATGAGGAATGATACGTTGAGATAAAAACATTCATCACTTTACCCATAAACTCAAAGGACACATGACTAAGGGACTTTGAAGTGTTTAAGACCATGGAAAAAACAGATTAAGAAATGACAAGTCCCTAAAATCTCCACCAAGCCATGTACTATGTTTTCAAGAGCAATCAACTTTTTAAAAACATTACCAACAGCATCTAACTAAAAGAGATGCCTTAAACCATAAAGAAATGATAATTTACTGTGACCAAGTTTGTATCACAGGCAGACATTTACAGGAGGAGCCTTGGAATGAAGTTACACCATGTAAAATCTACTCATTACCCATAAGGTATACTTGGGAATTTTCTATCAACTAAATCTGTGCCCTATATTTTTACCTATTTTGTCTAGATTCTCTCCATAATTCCTTCCTAGAATCTTATTTAAAGCGACTCATTTGGCATGTAACACATTATCCATAATTTCTTGCTCCTTGGGTCCTTTGGAAAAGATAATCCATAAAACAAAGTCATTTACTTCCCATTCCCACTACGTCAGCTAAACATACCACTCTGTGATAATTCACATTCTCTCCTTTTTTGCAGAAGGAGGAGCCTGCTTGTCTGCTCTAAGCCAGTAACCCAGCATCACTGCACCCCCAGCTCTCACCCGGCTTGTCCCACATGAGAGCCTCCTGCAGGTAAGCATAGCGGCTAAACTCCGGGAGAGGAGAAAAGAGGCCATCAGCGCTCGGGAATCCCGCAGCTTCTGACCTAGGAGTGGGAATTGCTGTGACCCTGTGCACAACAGTGGGGGCTGAGCCCTTCGAGTCTCTGAGGCAGAGTCTGGCTCACCAGGGAGAACAAGAGCCACTGAAACACCTCTTCTTTTCTGTTCTGCTTTCTGGACCTCAGCAAATCCCATGCAGCTCCTTCCACAAACAGAAATGAGCCAGGGGAGGGACGGCCCCCTTTAAGGGGACGGGACCCATCCAGTGTGCCCTGGAAACCACTCCTCTCTGAGCTGGGAACAAGATTCTCCCTTTAGAGAACCAGACCTTGCTCCTGCCTCTGCATGGAGACCCAGGGATTCAGCAAGTGAAATCCATTAGAAATGATGACATTCCAGCACATGACTCACTGAAGGACAGCAGAAGCATTCAGTGAAATATATCAATGAGGTATAATATCCTTGGTCTTGCAATTTAAATGGACCTAACATTCTTTTTGGCAGGGGTGTTTAAAAAAAACAGAAAATATGTCTAGAGGAATTGCTAAAGAAGAAAATCACCAGCAGCATATCCTTAAATATGAATTATAGCTTAATACTAACATTAAAATTACTTTGTCTTAATAATATGAGTCAAATCAAAACTGAAATGATAGGAATTTAGGTGCATAACCTGGATAATGCCTACATGTCATAAAAACAAATTAGTGGAGAAAAAAATCATATCATCCTTCTTCTACCTAAAAGCAAAAATTTTGCCTTCTTCAGAATAATTTCTGAATTAAATCCTCATGCCAGAAGATTGTCCCAAATCAGAAGTTGAGTCCAGACACCTAATTTATAAGTAGAGACTTTCTTATCACAGATGGTTATAAATAATTTCCATAGGACATATTTTCTGCCAGCACTAACGGTGTAATAAATCAAGACTCCCAAATGTAATTAAAAAGAATACATGTTTATCCCCAAGGCGGGCAGGCTGACAAGGGAGAAAGCGAGAGCAGGGAGAAACAGCCTGGCGCAGGGAGCTCCTGAGTGGGTGGGAAGGGCATCTGAACATGGGGGTGACTGGTGAGACAGAGCCAGAGCAAGTGAGGAAGGCACCCATGCTTTGGGCCAGTCAGCATGGAGGTGGGGCAGGGCCACAGGTCAGGCAGGGTGAAGAGGTCACCCTCATGGCAGGCAGACCCATTTTGATGGTCAGAGGACATGCAGAGGAAGAAGGGCACCCACTAGTGGGTGGGTGGTGGCCAAGATAGGGGGACTGAACTGTAAGTAAATAGCCTGTTGATGACGGGAGCCTGGTTTTTCACTTTCAGAGAAGAGAGTTATAAATTCAAAAAGGGTGAAAACTAGAATGAATTCTAGTTGGATTAGTATCATATTGGTATGAACTGGTGGTTTTTCATAAATGTCGATATATAACAACACACATATTGATGTATGTGCCCACCGTAACACACACACACATTCTCACACACACCTGTATTTACTCCCTAGCTCTGTCGCTCAAATAGCAACAAGCATGGGAAGGGCCCAAATCTTGACTTCTAAATACCATTCACCACTAAAAAGAATCAGGACTTCTTAAAGAAACAGCTGATTCCTGTGTTGGAGCATAAAAGACCTTTGTTGAGCCTGGAATTTTGTGTTGTGCCAGAAAGCAAGGAAACACTCAAAGAATGATGGGAATACGCCATTAGAACAGATAAAATTCTACCGAATATTTAAAGAATTGACACTAATCCTTCACAAACTCTTATAAAAAACAGAAGAGGAAGGAATTGTAGAGGACACTTTGGGAACGGTTTCTTGTTGTTTTTCTCAAGAACATGCCTTGACCTTACACACAAAGCCAGGGTGCCCTAACCCTACAAACAGAAGGGGCTAGAGAGTTTAGATACAAACATCTGCTCGCCAGAGACGAAACAACAAGGAACAGGGACGTGTTGAGTCGGGACAGTGTGGGAACAAAAAAATTGCGGTGGGACAATTACCAAACAGGCTGTGTTATAAATAAAGAAGCTACAGCAAAAAAATTTGCTGCAGTCTTATACCGTCTTTGTGTGTCTGTGTCTCTTTGTAGTGACTACAGTCATATACCGTCTTTGTGTATGTCTGTGTCTTTTGTCTCTGTGTTCATTCCTCGGCCCCTAGAAACGGGCCACGACAAGGAATACTTCCCAACTCAATCCATGAAGCAATATTACTCTAATATACAAACCAGAGAAAGGCATCACAAGATGACTACAGATTGGTATCCCTTATGAATATGGATGGAAAAATCCCCAACAAAATAGTAGCAAACCAAATCCAGCAACATATGAAAGGATTATACACCCAGTAGCAATCAGTTTACCAAGCACCCAGACCTTGGTTTCCAAATCCCACAATCCACTAAAAGGAACTTTTTTCTCCTTGGAGAAAGGCAGGGATAGGTAAGTGAAAGATTGAGTCTAGAACACACTACTGTGCCAGAAAGTAAGGAAGTGCTCTAAGAATTATAGGGACACGTCAGAAAGATAAAGGAACCAGCCCACAGGGCTCCCAATGGCCAAGTTTGGGACAATTTGGGTGTCAAATAATGACAGTAACAAATGTCACTATTTGAATAAAATAGGAACCCATGAACCTATAAAACATAAACCAACAGGCAGATAGTCAGATAGAAGACAGACAGATGAGCAGGGAACACTCTCCCTTACACGAGAATGGCAACAATTACATGCCAGAAGTAGTGATAAAATTTGAAAAATGACCATGTGACAGCCACCACAGTAATAATGGATTCAGCTAGAATCATTAATAGACATTAAAAATTGGTAGGTATGATGAGGAACAAGATATTTACATAGTCTCAAGGTATTTGCCTAAGAGTACTTATTAACTTCCAGTGGAGAAGCTTGGCAGACACGCTTAACCAAGCGGTAAGAGTTACACCATCAGTAATACAACACATCAACAAAGCATGAATCCCAGCTGAAAAGAACGCTGCATCATTCTTGTGGTGTTTCTGTCAAAATGAAGGACTGAAGAATTGTTTCACACTGAAGACCAAAGAGACAACACACAATCCTAGGCTGGGTACTAAACCTATAAGGATACTATAGGGACGATGAACAAAATCTGAATAGGTCTGTGGATCAGAAAGTAATCCTGGACCAATGCTGATGCCCTGATACTCAGGGAATACACACTGAGGCCCTGAGCAGTGACAGAGACTGTATCCTGCAGCTTTCCCACAAATGAACAGGATACGGAGTATACTGTGTTCTATTTCTGAGAAGTTTTGTGTACATTTAAGATTATTACACAATAAAAGGTTAACAAAGAACATCTCTTGACCTCTTTGGTTTTGGTCATGGTTTCTGCAATGATGCTGGCAGCTCCTGGGTCATCTGTCACTGGGATAAATGGCCGAGAGGAGGCAGAGGGAGCAGATGGAGTCACTGCAGAGGGGGTCACAGCATCCTCAGAGGAGACAATCTAATTGGAGAGTACAAAGGAGGGGAAGTTTAAGGTGGGAAAGTTTGGCAAAATGGCACACTTCTTATACAGGTCCAAAATGATTCATCTAAAATCACTTTGGTTGTTTAAAACGTTCCAGATTTTACAGAGGTTAACACAATGCTTATACCGCATATCACCTACCACCCCTAGTGGGGCCTGGGGCCGTCTTACAAAGTTAAGCACATTCATATTTCCAAGATAACCTATTAATATTCATGGCAGGTCCCATGAATTAGACTAAAATGAGCTTACATATCTTCAAGTTGGGTCTTTCACCAAACTAAAATAGTCACTAAAATTTGTGACTATCAGAGCTTTAAGTTTTCCAAATTGCAGATAAAGGACTGTGAACTTGCATTTAATGATTTTTTTTTTAAGAATAAACCTAATTCCACTTAAACACTAAAAATGCTCCTTTAAATATTTTTCTAAGTCAAGTCAAAAATCAAAGTAACACACAAAAACAGCCTAAACTAAGTGACAGAGTGACTGAGACTTTCCTAGACACAAAGTAGCCACCTTTTCCTTTCTGATGATATTGCTTTATGGTTCACTTTTACCTCTCTCTTCTCTTGCCATGGATTTGGACTCAGTCTGTCTTCAATATCAATAGCCAGCATGCATTCCTCTCCATTCATGGGACTAGCCATGGCAGACACATCAGAAGGGGGTGCCGAGGAGAAGGAAGGGCACTCCACTGGGGCGATCATGCCGGCTGGCATCAGGGCCCCCACCACCGCATCTCTGTCAGAACAGAAAGCCAGGCGTGCGGTGAGCTCCCTTTCACCACTGCACGACAGGACACGCAAGGCAGGACAAGTACTCACTGAGGAATTTCGTCATTTTTATAGGATATATGTGAAAGAGTTTTGGAAAAATACCAAACATTATTACCATGTATCCACTGGCTAAAAGCTGAAATGTTTACTCTGGATCTTATTTATTTGAATAAGCACAGTGATGACAGGAAAAAATTGCCAAATGTAAAAACCAAACCAGAATAAGGCTCAGTCTCTCCCTTAGAAACCTCCTGGCCTGTCAGAGCCTGAGGAACATGAAGCATATTAGTATTTAGAACTGAACATCGGGGATACCTGTGTTTACTGGAAGTGTGCCACATGCTAGCAGCAAGGACTAAACGTCCTCTCAATGATGCATTCAGGCTTTGTTCTGAAACTAATGCCCCTAGGTAAGTGTACCTGTTGGGTCCACGCCCATGATACGTTAATAGATGAGCAACTCACTTAGGCTGTGAGAAAACAGCAGCAAAATACTGCAAAAGACTGGACTATCAAACTGTGCCTTATTCAGGCAGTGAGGGAGATGTTAAATCGTTTTACATCACTGTAAATTAGTACCAAATAATTCTTCCTCTCTTCCCCAAATATTAATGCTTAGAGTTTAGTCACCAAAAAGAATAATGAAAATGTTCACCTTGGTTTACTGATTCATATTTCAATGCCCACTAAAACAAGCACAAAGATACCATCAAATCACTATCAAAGGATATGTGACTTACAAAACACAGCATTTAAAGACAATAACACAACATTCTTGTAGACATTTGATCAACCAAAAAATTACAAAAACCCAGAGCTTATATAATGTCAGAATTTAAAAACTCAGCACACCAGCCTACCTGGCATACATGATTTGCAGTGCTGTAAGTATATGCGATAAAGCCTGCTGTTTGGCCAGATTTCCATCCAACGACAAAAGAATCTTGGCAAGAGAAGGGCGATTTGGCTTAGAATTACTTGTACCACTTATTTTATTACTAGCAGCAGAAGAATCGGCATCTGAAGGCACACCTAAAAAAGGAAAATAAAATTTGGAATCTGTTTTTAAGATCGCAGTTTACTCTATTTCTGTAAAGTTTGACCCTTTACATTAGTTCCAAAACATACTGCAATTTGCATTTTGCTATTTCACAGAGTATGTATTAGGTTCATTAATGGTCTTTCAAAGTTTTTTAAAAAACCCACTTATCTATACTTCCATATAGAAGCTATTTTCAGCAAAGTTTCACCGTAACTGCAAAAAGATGTAGATACTTTCACAAAATGCAATTACAACAATTTATGTTATATACATATAAGCTGTGAAAACGCTACAATAGCTACCTGTATTTACTTACCCCTGGGAGGCAAGACAAAAAAAGAATCCGAAACAACAGAGAGATGTTCAACAACAAAGTGTGACCAGACCCACATCCCAGATCACTGCCCGGAGAGTTCCCAGGCCTCCGCAGAGGCAGGGAGCCGGGCAGAGCTACGGCATGTATCCATGTCAACTCACCCAAACTGATAAGCATACTTAACACAATTTCTATCAGTCCAACAAGAGTTTTTGTAGGTATCAACAAGAGTATTCTAAAATTTATACGTAACTATATAAATTTTAAGCAAAGGAACTAGAACAGAAATAGAAAAATAAGAATGGGAGAGGAGTCCGCCCAATTTCAAAAATTATTATAATGTTAGCATAATCAAGACTGTGTGGCACTGGCATAAAAACCAACGGAATAAAATAGAGAATCTCGAAACAGAACCACTCAAATATGCCCAAGTGATTTTTGACAAATGTGCAGAAGCCATTCGGTAGAGGAAGGACAGCCTTTCAACAGTGGTGCTGGGATAACCAGACACCTGCAGGCAAAAACACCAAACCTCAACCCAAATCTCTTACCTGATACAAAATTAAAATGGATCATGATTTAAGTATAAAACACAAAACTATAAATCTTCTGGTAAAAAACATAGGAGAAAATCCTTAGGATCTAGGACTAAGTAAAAGTATCCTCACGCTTGACATCAAAAGTATAATCCATAAAAAAAAAACTGATAAATTAGACTTTATCAAAATCTTAAAACTTTTATTCCATGAAAGAGGATGAAAAGACAAGCTACAGAAAACATCTGCATAACACTTATCTGACAGAGGACTAGAAGTATCTAGAATATATAAAGAACTCTATAAACTCAACAATTAAAAAAAACCCACTTAGAAAATGCTACGAAGACGTTTTATCAAAGAGGAGATATGGGTGGTAAATAAGCACATAAAAAGATGTTTAACACAATTAGCCATAAGGAAAATACAAATTAAAACCACATGAAATATCTCCTGACACATCTATCAGAATGGCTAAAATAAAAAACAGTGGTGAGGACAAGGGAAAACCTGGATCACTCACCCACTGCTAATGAGAATGTAAAATGGCTCAACCACTCTGGAAAACAGCTTAGCTAGTTCCCATCAAACACAGGACGCAGCAATCACTCTTGGGCATGTATACCAGATAAATAAAAACTTATTTTCACATAAAAACCTGTATCTGAATGACATGGCAGGTTTATTTATAACAGCCAAAAACTAGAAGTAATCTAAATGTCCTTCAATAGGCGAACAGTTAATGATGAAATACAACTTGGTAATAAAAAGGAACAACTTGAATGAACCCCTAGAGGATTATGCTGAGTGGGAAAAGTCAAACTCAAAAGGTTATATATATAATGTGACATGAAAAGAGCTATCCACAAGACTGAGCAATTTAGACTGGAGTGGAGAAGACAGGAGTCAAAGTTGATCAAAACGTACACTTTAAATAGGTGCAGTTTATTGTTTGTCAGTTATATCTGAAGAAAGCCGTTAAAAAATACAAAGCAGCCCAGCACAGTACCTATATCTTTCAAGTACTTATTATAAGGAAACTTCCGTTTGCACTGCCAGAGTTTACCTCATCTTAAATACAACAGTCAACAACATACTTTCTTCTAAAATTTTCATTCCAGCATGTATAAATTGCACGAGAACACACCGTAATTCTTCTGTATCTTTAAACTCATAATGCAGTTAACACTCAACGTCCAACCTGTTGGCACTATTAAACAAATCTGTTATGTTGCTGTAACCTACAGAAGGATCACAGAGAAGATACAAATTTGTATTACCTAAATAGGAAGCACCTAAAGGGTCTCTTGCAGTCTGGAAGAGGACAGGCTCATGGACAGAGGGCGTGGCCACATCAACAGTTGTCCATGCCACACTGTGCGATGACCCACAAGCTACTCGCGTGATCTTCTGGCCTTCTAAGCCTTGTACGAGCGTGGGCTTTCTATTAACCGTGGTTGTGCCATTGCCCTGCTGGCCGTGGTCATTGTCACCCCAAGCATACACCTGTTAAGGAGGAAAAAAAAAAAACTTAACAGTTTTCCAACATTTCAGGACATTTTCTTTAAATTTACTTTAAAATGGTTAAAGTATATGCTGTGGTACTTGGAAGAATTGAGCTCTTAAAGATGAAAACAAACCATTTCACAATCTTACAAAATGGCATCAGTGTATTTACAATTCTGAAGAAAATTTAACCATGAAATTCTTACTGAAAGGTAGCCTTACCAATAACCTACCTAAGAGAGGAAAATAAACTATCAAACAGAAAGTGAGAGAAATAAACTCACAGCACAACTGCTCCTTGTTTTGTTTAACTAAACACCTGTGGCCTAACCTGTCATCTCTAAGAGTCATTTCTCAGCCTTGAAGAGCCCCAAGTGGACAGCAGGGGTGTGGGCTCCCCACTCCCACTCTCTGCCTCAGTTCCTGCCAAAAACCAGACTTCAAGGACTCAGATAAGCTGGTCTCACTGAGAAAAGAGAGAAAATAAAGAACACTGGCAACAACTTTGCCACTGCTTCTCTTATCAGCTTGCTGAAGCAGAGGGGAAAAAAAGCCATTTTTATCCTTTAAAACTCCAAACAGCTTTTCCCTCAGCTGCCCAGCACTTCCTCCCTTCCTCTGTGTGCCATGGTCATTTTCTCCTTCTCTCTCTCTTTCTTTCTCGGGAAAATAAATAAACTTTGTACTTTTGTATATCCTAAACCTTGTCTGACAAATCTTCCTCCACCCACTGGAAGCACCTAGCAAATTTCCACCCTTTCACTTACCATTTACCAAGTAAATGAATATTTACTTAATGTTAATCCAATTAATTCATCTATTCGTTTTGTTACAGGATGCAAGGATGGTCCTGTCTTCAACTAAGCACAATATTTTTTTCCCTTTTATTTTGCAAAGAAAAATGATTAAAACATTTTTCAAGTAATTTGCTTCTTTGCTTGATAGAATTATACAGTATAATTCATTTTGATTAAAAAGCAATATGCTGATTTTGTTTTCATAAATAAATTTTAAAAATAATACCCATGAGCCAGTCATGGTATATGCCTCTCAAAGCAAAAGAATGAGTAATATTTGCCAAGCATTAACTTTACTTCTAAAATGAAGTATGTATCGCTGCCCATCAGCTATCAAATCTCCAAAGTAAAATCTTGCTAGTATCTCAGCAGCAGGAGCGCCTGCAACGATAAAAATCTTTTCACATTTCCATGTGGACTTCAGCGTGGGCACAACTCTTCTCCAAGGGCCCCACCGCCAACCTGTGCTGCCAAGGGCAGATACACCAGTGAACAAAACAAACACCGCCCAGCCTTCATGGTTCCTCAAGTAGTAAGACTCAATTCATCGAGAGTCACAATTTCAACAAGACAAGGATGGTGCCACTCCCAGGCCACCTGCAGCCTTACCTGCCCCGAGTCCGTGACCGCCAGGCAGTGCAGGGCCCCTACAGCCACGTGCACGATCTTCTTCCCTCTCAGCCCTTCCACCACCTGCGGCTTGCGCACATGCACATCAGAGCCATGGCCCAGCCTGAAGTAATCGCCCTTCCCCCTGAGAGGAGGTCAACAGTGCAAGTGTTATTCATTACGGTTACGGTCTGGTGATGCTACACAAGAAAACACTATCTCACATCTTTTAGAGCCAGCTCAATGATAGCATCATACACAGCACCCAAGGTCTTCGAACTTACATTCTAAAATGGTTCACCATTAATTCAAATTAACTCATTAATTTTGCTAGCAAAATCCTTAATACTATAATATGTGTTTTATAATATTTAAGTTACTGTTGTAGGTTTTCATATAAAAAGACTGAAAACAAGACACACAACCACAAACACCCCTCCGAAGTCCCACCTGGTGTAACGTCTTTTTTTTTTTTTTTTTAATTTCAGCATATTATGGGGGTACAGATGTTTAGGTTACATATGTTGCCCTTGTCCCCTGCCTCCCTGCCTAAGTCCAGTGTATATCTTTCCCAGGCTGCCTATGGTCATGATACTGGCACAAAGCCCTGACACACCATCCAAGGTGGGTCTGGGCACTCACTCTTTTACACTTTAATAAAATAAGCTTTTACAAGAAATATACGTGAACTTTTCCAGGATCAAAGGATTCAGAAATCTGTTTTGCTTTCATTTTATCCTTAGGCTTCAGAAATGGTAAGAAAGCGGAAAAAGCCCTTTACAAAAACCTCACCCACAGGAAAGGCAGGTAGGCTAACATTTCTCTAGTATTCTAAAATGACCCAGTTATAATGAGAAATTTCTTCTTGTAATAGTATCGCTAATCTCAACTCAACATAAATAAAAGGACAAAGATGCCTAAGAGTAAGAATATGACAGTTTATAATCATGTTGTAAGCATATGGTGAGGCCGAGGCTCCCCGCATGCTCCTGTACAAGCACAGATTCGCAGTGACACTGAGGAAGTTGACGTACCATGTCCACACCACTCCTGACTTGGTGAGAGCCAGGGAGAACTGAGCTCCACACTCAATCTGGCACACTCCCTGTCCATTTAGTCTCTCAATGTTCTGGGGAATGTTGCAGCCTTCACTTCCTCCCCGGCCCAATTTTCCAAAGTCACCATCACCCCAGGAAAATACCAAACCTAGGTTTAAAAAAACACATACTTCAGGCCAGTGCTTCATAACATTCCCACTCACCCAGAAACTTAGAATCGTGACGGGGCTCACCTTCATCAGTCAGAGCCAGGGTCTGTGCATCTCTACTTCCACACGCAACCTGGATTACTCTATGACCAAGAAGGACTTTCACCTACTCAATTACAAATTTAAAAACACAATCAAGCACAGGCATTGAGAAAGCAAAGGAAATTTCTTCCACAGACTGAAAGCCAATAATGCCTATGTCTTTTATGAACTTTCCTAGATTCAAAGCTTATCTTCTCTTGAAATCATCAGATGGTAAGCTTTCTGCAAGCAACAAAAATGTGCATAATCACCATTTTGGGCTTCAGCTGTGTCGTGTTATCCCCATGTCCCAAGCGGCCGTACTCTCCGAGGCCCCAGGTGTACAGTTCACCACTGGACGTGAGAGCCGCGCTATGTGAGCTCCCACAGGCGATATCCCGGATACGCTTGGTTTTCAGGGCCTCTATCAGCCTTGGCTTGTCACAGTTCCTTAAACAAGATAAATGCAACTCCCTATAATCAAGCCATCCTTTTTTAAAGATAAGGTAAAAAAAAAAACAAAAAAACCATCTACACTGATCCACACGTAGTTAACACAAGATCTGTAGATCAATTTCACAATCAAACCTTAAAGGAGAATATACAAGGCCAAATCACATAATCCATATTTAAAAAAAAAAATCTTTTAAATCTATTTCCATAAATAATCTATCCTATTTTAATTTTCTGCAAAATAACTATCAAAAGGCATTTACTATTATTATCAGTAACAGTTTCTTATTAGCAAATAAGGCTGAAGAAAATATCCTTACATTCTGCTGAAATGTCCAAGTTTTCCATCATCACCTTCACCCCAGGAAAACACTTTCCCATCGACAGTTAAAGCTGTAGCGTGTCGGCCACCTGAAACATTCACACAGACTTGGGCTGCCAAAGGGCGGTGTACAGAAAGTCCACAGCGTAACTACTTACTCTGCCTGACCTGTAGCATACACTCAGTGAGTACGTGTTGCATAAAGAGTAAGTGGGATCAACATTTCAGTTATTATGAAAGCTTTCTAAGTGACATATTATGCCAAATAAGTGAACTTTCATCAAACTACAAATTTTACCTCTAGAAAGAATTTGCAAAATTCTTTGAGGCAAAATAATGCTGATTATTAATGGGGTGCCTGTTATGTTATTAATATATAAAATATCAAAATTTAGATGGAAAAAGTAAAAATAATTGTGATTAGGCAAATTATAAATACAGTGTAATTTAAGATTTCGAGAAATGCACTCCAACAGTTGGGCTGCAGGGCATGTGTCTAGGGCTCACCTCTCCCTCCAGGCCTGGGCTTGGGGCCTGGGGCCTGAGGGCTGTAGGGCCAGCTTCCCACAAAGGTGCACAGAAAGAACTAGCACTCCTCTTGGACACAGAGCTGCCAGACCCTGACCACCACCCCACCCCAGACTTTCATATAGGGGAAAAGTAAAATTCTATCTGGCTTAAGCCACTATCATTTGGATTTCTTGTCATGCAGGGTTACATCTAACACCATTCAGTACAGGCATGCATTGAGCTTTGTATGTAATTCAGCTCCATTCCTCAGAGGCGAAGCACACTGCTTCAAAATAACACTCAATTAAGGCTCCCTGAATTGAAGGAGTGTGTTTTCTTTTAAAGGTTCTTTCTCATTACTAGGGTTCACAGACACTTTTCAAAATCTGATGAAAGTTACAGACTCTTCCCCAGAAAAATAACACCTATTTAAGCACAGAACTTACCCCATCCTTTGAAGGGTACACCCATATGACTGAAATGCCAATTGCTATTCTCCAAAAAACCTCACTTAGTAGTGACAATTAAATTCTAGACCACCCAGAGATTTATATTATCCAATTTTTATTCTTATTAAGTAAGGAAAAACTTTAAAAAGAATGCAAGGACATCTTAAGGAAAATTATTTAAGGGCCCTAGTTATTTACAGAGTAGGAGTGACATATTTCTTTGCACATGACTGCTGACACTGGATGTGTACCTGAGTGGACAGCCACCTTCTTGACCACGTAGCTGCTGAGTGCTGTGATCTGCCGCGGGATGGGCACTGTCCCGCTGGAGAGGCCCAGCCCCAACCGGCCGTTTGTGGCTTCTCCACAGGCGTATACCTTCCCTTCCACAGTCACTGCAAAGAAGGAGAGCCAGGAGAGGACTGACTTTTCACAACATAAAAACTATTTTTTTCTTTTTGCTTTTAGGTATAATTTAAAAATTTTTAAATATTAATCATACCTGCAAACAAACTTTTAGAACCACCAGCCACCTGTACCACATTCAAAGCAGACAGAGTCTCAGAGAACGAAGGAACCTTTATCTAGAATAGGATTTATTTAAAAAGAAAAAAAATTACATTTGCACTCTTAAAATTATAAGTAACCTTATTAGATTATACAAGGAATTACAGTCATGCACTGCATAATGATGTTTTGATCAATGATGGACTACATATATGATGTAGTCCCATAAGATTACAATGGAGCTGTGAAATTCCTATCACCTAGTCACATCTTAGCCATCACAATGTCATAGCGCAACCCATTCCTCAAGTGTTTGTGATGATGCTGGTGTAAACAAACCTACTGGGCTGCCAGTCATATAAAAGTCTAGCACACACAGTTA